CTCTCTTATTATTTTGTGGAAGAGCCACACTCAAGGGGCCAAAGAGCCGCATGTGGCTCGCAAGCTGCGGTTTGCCGACCATGGCTCTAGGCTGTCACCCTGGACTCACTCTCCCTGCAGACACCCCCAGACGGCATGGACGAGGCCCAATGAACAGTGAAACATGCTTCTGATTTGGGAGAGTTTATATGCGAAGTAGCAAAAAAAAACTGCCAAACGAGCCACACTGTGCAAGCATGAGCTGCACGTGGCTCAGAATGAGGCCAGCTACGCACAGCGGCAAGGGATGGATGATGGACAAACGGAAAAGGGTGACCTGGGGCCAGGCACCTTCCTGGGCTGTGGCACAGTGCCAGGTGCAGAGGAACCAGGGAAAGGACTCGGGCCCGTGCTGCTCTGTGGCAAGGGCTCAGAGCCCGGCTCAGCCCACCCCTCCTTCCCACCAGAATCCCCTCCTCCCACTCCCACACCAGCCAGGGGACAAACTGGTTTCTTGGAACGTTCCTTGGTGCCTTTCTAGTCGGCAGCAGTTGGTGGTCAGGCACAGGGACAGGGGGCTGTGACACAGGGCACTTGCCAGGGGGACGAGCAGCAGAGCCCAGCCTCGAGGTGTGATGAGCCCTCAGCACAGGGGCCTATTCTGTCATCTGCTCATTTGTCAGGGCAGCCCCACAGCCCCGCCCAGGAGAGCTCATCTCTGAGGCAGCACCTCAGCTCCCTGATTCAGGCTGTCTCTGAGCCCCCAGGTAATCTGGGACTGATTTCGTGGGCCCATTCCAGGTCTGTGGGTCTGACTTTGTTTATGAGGTTTCCTAGGATCTGAAGGGTTGTGTGCCCATGGCCTGGGAAGCCAGGGCTTCATGCCATCTCCCCGAGCCCAGCATCATGCCATCTCTCTGAGCCCACCTCCCTTTCCCCATTTACATTTCATGGAACAAGGTGCACGGAAGGAAGGAAGGGGGATCTGCCGAGGGCAGCGGAAGAGGGAGAACGTCTTTGTTCACTCTTTATTGTGTCTTTTTAAAAGATGGCATCATGGCTCATCCAGTGGGTCAGTGATTCACACGCGTGTCATTGGTGCCCTTCAAACAGGTTCCTGTGGGGTTTTCAGGGCTGCTTGTCTGCGTCCCTCTGCACCTCCTGGCCGACCTCAGGAGACAGAAGTGGAGACCCCTATTACCGGCCAGAAAGAAGGAGTGGGTGCTGAGGGGAACCGAGGAAGCTGGGGGGAGGGCAGGCAGGCAGCCCGGTCCCCTCTATTCTACTTCCTGTCCCCCCCAGACTCCCCCGGTTCACCCGTCACCATGTGCAAAGTACCTTCTCCAGGGCCGCTACACGCTCTCCTTCACCTTCTTTCTGGTGGAGTATGGAATGCAGCACACCCAGCTGGTCCTGGTCCTGATGGCCGAGAGGAGGGGAGGGGCTGAGAGAGAGGCAGGCCCCGGGCCACAGGTGCTGGCAACACCCCTTGAACCCTAAATGCATGCCACGGGGTCTCTGCTCCGATCTCTACTGCACCCCACTGCTCACGTCCCGGGGAGCCAAGGTCTTTTCTCTGTGGCTTCCAGGCCCCGCGCACAAAAGCGGATTCCAGTGCAGAGCCAGGCTTGCCTTTCCTCCAGATGCTCGGGGTTTACCTGCCTACCACCTGGCTGCTGTCCTCTGTCCTGGAAGACCTGGGCCAGGAGGGACCCGTGGACACGAGAGACCCTTAAAGACTAGCTGAGCCAGGTGTCACGGGTGGTTCCCACGGCCAGCCCAGCCTGTGCTTGCCTCCCTGTGGGGTGGTCACTGGGGTTTCCACTTCCAAGGCTGCCTCAGTATGAGATGGCAGCCCCCCTCCCTTGGCAGGAACCACCATGGCTTGGTGCCCATATGTCCCGCTGGCTGCTATGGGCTACTGGCATACGGGTACCTGACCCCACCATCTGAGCGGGCCCGAGGCACAGGCTGGACAGAGAAGCCTTTTGCTCTGAGGGAAACTGAGCTTGCAGGTGAGCAACACAGCAGAACAGACAGGTGACTCACCCAGCAAGTGTCCAGGCCTAGCCCTCCAGGGGCCCACTGCAGACCCCTTTCCCACTGGCCTAGAGGCCTTCGGTGGCCACAGCTTGCTTTTTGAGTGCTGGCCTGACTCACAGGTTTCCCGGGGGAGCTGGGTCCTGGGGGTGATGGGCCGAGACCCAGAGACCAGGAGGGTGGACCTGGGATTGTCCGACCTTCGGGGCAGAAAATAAAGCTGCCAAGCTGCACCTAGTGTGGCTGAATCTGTCACTATATCCATTAAGCAGCGAAGGGGAAAATAAAGGTCTGCTTAGGAAAAGACTGCTTATTTTTAGGCCTAGATTTGAGAGCGTGACAAGACCATCCCAAAATCTTTCACATCATAAAAGCCAACGTGACCAGCTGGGTAAGTCGAGATCAGAAGAGAGGTGGGTCGTCTGAGTGAAGACGGAATGAAAATGCCTCACAGAAACGCTCTCCCCGAACACACACATCTGGGCGGAAAGCAGCAATAATGACAACAGCCTAATAGGCGAAGGGCCGTAATGCCAGAAGCATTCAGAGCTGGCGATCCAGAAAAATGGCACCGACAGAGGAGCCCATTTTCACCAGGAGCCAATTTTCACCAGCGCCTGTCTTTGCGTCCAAATCTACACTTCAAAACCAGGTCCAAATCTACACTTCAAAATCCTGTGTGGTCCTCACTGTTCCTGAGAGAGAAACTTGGGTGATTTCTTCTTTGTTGTGCTATTCCACCTTATTTAAGTTATTTAAAATGACCATGTGTCAGTTTTACAAAGCAAATGGAAATTTTCTGAAAGTATGCAAACAATTAAACCAAGATATTAATATAGTTGTTCATTCTGAGCGGTGAATACATTGCTCTTTTCTTCCTTGTGTTCTTCTCTGTATTGTTTAAAATAAAATAGGTCCGTGGGCCCTTGGGTGGCCTAGAAGTAAATACCCCACCTTCTCCCAGCACCCTTAACGGCCTCGGGAAGTGGTGGGGCTTCAATGGCCCTACAGAGTCTTCACCCCAGTAGAGTGTGGGGGTCAGGACACATGTGAGGGGTCCTCCCACTGCCGGCAGGACCAAGGTGTGTGACCTTTTGTAGCCCATGAGGTGATATCCTACTCTCATCTGCCCTTCTTCCCCTCTTTTTCCTTCCCCCGGTTCTGCCCATTTTGTTGCTTGATTGGATGGGAAGAGAGAGTCTGGCTATGGAGTTAGGTGGGACTCAAAGCAAAGGTTGTGCCAGATCCCTTACAGCGGTTCTCAACCTGTGGGTCGCGAACAATGAAAATACATCCTGCATATCAGATATTTCCATTACGATTCATAACAGTAGCAAAATGACAGTGGTGAAGTAGCAACGAAAATAATTTTATGGTTGGGGGTCACCACAACATGAGGAACTGTATTAATGGGCCGCGGCATTAGGAAGGTTGAGAACCACTGCAGAAGGTTCGATGCCCTGTTGCCCACCTCTCAGCACCCCCAGCCTCGGTAAATGCTTAGGACACTGCGTGCATCTAGAGCAGTGATGGCGAACCTATGACACGCGTGTCAGAGGTGACACGCGAACTCATTTTTTTTGGTTGATTTTTCTTTGTTAAATGGCATTTAAATATATAAAATAAATATCAAAAATATAAGTCTTTGTTTTACTATGGTTGCAGATATCAAAAATTTCTATAGGTGACACGGCACCAGAGTTAAGTTAGGGTTTTTCAAAATGCTGACACACTGAGCTCAAAAGTTTCGCCGTCACTACTCTAGAGGAAGAGGGGAGGCACAGTGGACCCACTAGAAACCGGGGTAGAGGAACAGTCTCCCCACCTCCCCGAGCATGAGCCCAATACTCACTCATCTTCTGACAAATCCCCCATGTCCATTTGGGACCACTTGTCTTCTCTCATGGCACATGTGACCACCTGCGAGAAGCAGCAGAAGCACTTTAGGGGATGGGGTGGCGGAGGGGGTCAACCACAGTCCCCAGGCCGGACACACTGGGCCTGCCCAAGGAGCAGATGGAGACACGAAGACTGCACTGGCCCTGAGCACAATCCCACAAGACTGGGAACCATCAAGTGGAGATTTCTAATTATGGGGCCCTGACCAAGGAGCTGTGGCCTGGATACAGGCCACCATGACCTCTAGATTGTAGATCAGGATACGTGGGCCCTTAGTCTCCACTCTGCCTCTTTGAGTCCTTAGAACATGTGGTGCCCCATGGTAGCCTTGTCAGGAGTTAATCAGCTCTCTTCGTTGTACAGCATGTTCTGAGGGCAAAGAGATAAAAGGTGCAATTTGGAAAAAAATAACCCTCAGGCTGGAGCTTAAATTGGCCAAGACAAAAATATCTACAAGCATGACTGCTCACTACAGCAGAAAAATGGAAAAGACATCCCAGAGAGACCTTTGAGTCAAACACTTCTCCTTACAGAAAATGATGATGATGATGATGGTGATGATGGGATGACGATGGTGATGATGTGGCTGCTGAACATGATGGTGATAGTGGTGATGGTGTAATGATGGTGATGATGGTGGTGATGATGGTGATGATGATGATAGTGATGATATTGATGATGGTGGTAGTGGTGGTGGAGTAAGGTGGGACTCAAAGCAAAGATCGGGCCAGATTCCTTAGGTGGTTAGATGATGATACTAATACTGAGGCTTTCTGGGTACTAGACACTGTTTGAGGGCTTTATAGAACCACCCTGGGGTGTGGGTACTACTAAGATACCCATTTGACATATGAGACAACTGAGGCCCAGAGAGGTATAGTGACTTGTTTGAGCATTTATTGGCAGAGCTGGATATGGAGGCCAGGTCTCCTAATTCCTAAGCCTGTGCCCTTTCTAACACCCCAACATGATCCCACAGAAGTTCTCAGGGCCCATGGGCAGCCAAATGGTTGACCCAGGCCCAAGAGTGTTGGAATGCATGCAGGTTAGCGTGAGGGAGGATGAGAAAAAGGAGGGGGTGCCCTCCAGCCCCCTAGACCAGTCCTCAACACCCTGGAGCTTTCTTGATGCTGCTGTCCCTATCTTTGCCTCAGCCTCCAACACACACATGCACGGGGCAAGTTCCCCAAAAAAGCTTTGTGGGCCTGAGCACAAGCATTTCCTGGTGGGTGGTTTGGCTTTGTTGTGTGAAGGGTTTTTACCTCTTCAGCATGGTCTCCCAGATCAATCTCCACAAACATAGATGGTTTCTGTAAATGAAAACCAAAGAGACGTGGAAGAAAGACTTGCGTAAGCTAGGGAGGTGAATAGACTTTCTAGGAGGTAGAGTGGACTCCTGACCCCCAGTCAGGGTCTGAGCAATGACCACTGGGACCACCAGACACTGGCAGTGCTCAGTGGGGGCTCCTGAGAAGCTGGGGAGAGAGCTGCTGGCAGTGTAGATGGCAAGATGTCCATGGGCCATCTCTGGCAGAGGAGGGAGGGGAAGGAATATGGCCTTCCCACAGCTCCATGCTCACCTCCCATCAAGGCCCTGAGACCCAGAGGGTTTCTCCCACCTTTGCCCTCTGAGAACCAGGGCCTCCAGGAGACAGGCGATGTCCAGATCTGGAGCAGCCCCTCCAAGCCCACTTCAGACCTGCTCGACTGGGAAGCACCTTTAATTCTGCCTCCAGAAACCTACCTGGGACCCCACTTTACCCAGTTAAGAAGGCTCGCACTAAGGTGTGAGAAGCCCAGGCAGCTCAGGTGTTGCTGCCCTAGGGTCTCTTATTGGCACCTTGGCTCAGTCCAGAATGTGTTTCCAATGGTAGCACTTTAATCAACACCAAGGGAAGTATTGGGGGTGGGTGAAGGACTCCCCAGAACCCCTGAGTCACACCAAGGACCATCTGTTGTAAATCCTGGTAAAACACATCTAACTACCTCTCCATTCCCTACCACAGGGATTAGGAATGAGAATGACAGCCACCTTCCCTGAGAAAGTGCCCTGTGCCAATTTCTACTATAGCACTGACATGTCTCTGGCCAACGCACCAGGGCCTGGGACTCGGGGTGTTTCCCTAGTCAAGCTGAGTATTGCCTCCTGTCAAGGACCCACATGCCTTTAGCCACTGCATTGTTTGGAATTAGGATGCCCCAGCATGAGGGCAAGAGCACAGAGCTTGACCTGGAAGGCTCTCTGGGGTCAGGGGAAGGCTTGGTCCAGCCTGTACCATGGTCCTGTCTAGATGACTTGGGACCACACGTCCCCAGGGCGCTCCTGGTCCAGCAGGACTCTGCCTGATAGGCCTCTCCATCAGACTGCTGTCACCAAATTAAACAGCGCTTGCCTCTTTTTCCAGAAGGTCTTCCGGCTTTAGGGACTCCAACTCCTGTTCCTGTAAGAAGACACCAAACAGGTGCATAAAGGCAGGATGCTGACCCGAGGGGACAGCAGTCCATGGATGTTAAAGGACCACGGCCTGACCTTGGCCTCCTGGGAGCATTTGTTTGTGTGCTCATCTTCCTCATGCTCCTCCTGGTCGCTGGCCTCCGAGTCGCTCTTCTCAACCTCCAGCTTTCCACTCCCATGCTCCAGCTTTCCACTCCCATGGTCCAGCTTTCTACTCTCATGGTCCAGCTTTTCAAGGGCATCCTGGTTCTTCTCCTGCTTGTCTTCCTCTAGGGTTGCCTGACTGTAGGAGTGGAAATGAGGGTTTGGAATCGGTGTCATGGAGACAGCTTCCCGATGACACCTTTCTCCCTCTTGGGCATCGGCAGCTCTGGGAGCAGCTCCAGCCTGGACAGGGAGGCAGAGAGGGGCCTGGACAGGGAGGCAGAGAGGGGCCTGCGTGTGCAGGGCCTGCCTCCTTCCTGAGGGCAGAAGGTGGGTGGGCAGACACGTCAGACAGGAGGGGAGGGGCGATGTGCAGAGGATGAGCAGTGATGCTCAGGTTGCTCCTGTCCTCCCTCCTGCACACCCAGACCTTCCCCAGCGTGAGCCTCCGCCGGCCCCGCCACCTGGGATGACGCTGTTCCTTTTCTGGGGACAGGTGCCAGCTCCAGGACTCCGGGGGCACCAACAGCTGTAGTTGGAGGGCGGAGGGGAGCGGAAGGGCTTGCAGCCCTGAGAACCACCCTGCCTCAGACCCTCCCCCAGCCTCAGACCCTCCCATCTGAACCCCTGGGGTCCTCTCAGGACCCCCAGGGCTCCTTTAGGGCCTCCAAGTCTTTGTCTTGGTGCTGGCCCCACTTTCCGCCCCGTGGTGAACACCACCCCTGCCGGACAAAGCCCACTTACCAGACGGTGTCTTTGGCGTTGCTTTTCAGGTCCTTTCCCTGATCTTCAGACTCTGAGGAGGAAGAGCAAGTTGTCAGACACTCCCACCAGGAGGTGCAGGAGCACCGCTGGCCAGCCGGCCCGAGGCCCACAGCTCAGCCCTGCGAGGGTGGGGCCAGCCCAGGGGGTGCTGGGCTCCCTGCAGCTCCAGTGTTGGCCTGGTGACTAATGGTTATGACTAAAGCCAGCCTCAGTTTTTATCCTGACAGGTTGTCTCCCGATTCCCTGCCCGCACGACACCCACTCTGCACAAGGCCCCACCCCACACCATCTCTGCCTCTCTAGGCAGAGCTCGGGTGAAGCTAAAGCACTGTCTTTACATTAGATGTGCAGGACCCCTGGGCAGCCCTGACATCCTCCCGCACAGCACACTGACTGGGAGCAGCAGGAGTGGAAGGCAGGGGCGGCGACCCACTGGGCAAGCCTGTCCCACAGGGGGTGGCACTTGAGACACACACGGCTTGTTCAGGAACCTCCTCTCCTTGTTCCTCCTCAGAAGGGCCTGGCCAGGGCGGTTCCTGTGTCATTTTCCCAAGGAAAGTGCTGCCCAAGGCCCAGCTAGTCGGGATCTTTGTCCAGTGCACTCAGTAGCCTGAGAATCTGCCTGGCATCCAGGGAGCTGTTCTTCCAGCCGCAGCCTCACATGCATAGTGATTGCCAGGAGATGATTAAGGTAAAGCTGCGTTTTGGTGACTTTGGCAGGATCAGAGCATGAGCTTCGTGAACTGTTTCGCCAGGACAGAGACCTCTCACTGCCAGGCTTGTCGGCCAGGAGAGCCTCAGAGCAGTTATGCAGAAGGGGTTCCCTGACCCTCTTCGGGACCTGAGCGAGCCTCCGAGGGGACTCAAGGTCGCGACATTGAAAGTTCCGTTTCTGTGCAGTCCCCTCTGAGCCTGGGAGGGTTGAGGCGCTCCCTGAGTAGTGGCTCCTCCCACAAGCAGCTTGGTCCTCCCTCCTGGCCCTCCACACCAAAGGCCCTGATGCAAGCACAGCCTGGGGGCAGTTCCAAAGCTTTAAGTACTGCTGTTGACAGAAGACATAGCCAGGGCAACTCTGAGCAGCTCCCATCTTGGAGAAACGCTTTACAGAATCTGGCTGTGGGACCAGCTACTCCAGGCCTTGTGCTCAGGGTTGTTTTGGCTCACAGGCCTCGGGGCGGGGATGACTGCCCGAGAGAGGCGGTGACGCCCAGTTCCCAGTGGGTGCCCTGCACCCTGATCCTGCTGTTCTAAGGAGTCTGATCGGCTGGTCCTTGCCTTCTCTCTGGTCCTCCCCTGACACCTCTCTCCTGAGCCCTGCCATCTTCCAAGGCCACTCTTCCTGGGACCTGGGTGCCCTTGCCCAGTGCTCAGCGACCCACTGTAAAGGGAGCTTTTCATCAGGGCCGGGCCTTCCTAGTGCTCAGCACAGGTGGCCTCGGGCTATGTCACCGACATTGTCTCCCACTGCTCCGAGTTCCCTGTGGATACGAGCGAGGCGTTCTTCATCCTCCTCATTCTTCAGCCCGCACAGGCTCAGGGGCCTGATCTGTGGCTGTGCTGCCCCCACGCAGACACTGGCCACGCCAGGGACGAACAGCCCTGAAGACCAAGGGCAGGGATATGAGAGGGGGCACAACTGGGTCCTCAGAGAATATTTTTGGACTTGGGACAGTAGTCCCACTTACATGCAGTTTCAGTTCTGAGGTCTCCTGTAGTCTGAAAATATGAAATGGAAAGTGCCAGAAATAATTAGTACGTTCTCATTGTGAGCCATTCTGAGTTGCGTGAGGAAACCTCTCACTGCCCCGCTCCCTCCTGCCCGGGATGTGAATCGTCCTTTGGTCCAGCGCACCCACGTGTGTACGCTCTCTGCAGGTTAGTGGCTGGGCAGCCACCCTGGTTGTCAGAGCCGCTGTGTGGTATCCCCAGGCTTGTGTTTGAGTAACTCTTATTAATAACTAGAGGCCCGATGCACAAAGATTTGTGCAAGAATGGGCCTTCCTTCCCCTGGCTGTTGGCACCACCTTCGCTCCCACCCAGAGCCGCCTTTCCGCCTTTGCTTCAGCCTGGAGCTGCCTTTCCGCCTTCCCATGCTGCCCAGAGGCCTGGAGCAGCTGGAGCAGTGCAGAACGCCTGTGTTGTCACCATGGTGACGACGCAAGCATCCTGCCCCGCTCCCAGCCTCTCGGTGCCTGTGTATGCAAATTAACATGTCATCTTTGTTGGTTTAATTTGCATACTTGCTCCTGATTGGCTGGTGGGTGTTGCAAAGGTATGGTCAATTTGCATCTTTCTCTTTTATTAGTATAGATGGCCCCAAAGCACATGAGAGGTGGTCCCGGCCATTCTGCTAGGCCAAAGAGAAGCTGTCAAGTGCTTCCTTCCAGGGAAAAGGTGTGTACATGGAGGAGAACACATAGCAAACCTAGTGTTCAATACTATTCGTGGTTTCAGGTGTTCACTGGGGTTCTTGGCACGTATCCTCCATGGACAAGGGGGACCAGGGTAGCTCTCAAGACATCCCTCAGGGAGAAAATGATCATGCAGCCTCCACCTCAGTTAAGAGGGCTGCTTCACGGTCAGTGGTGTTTAAGCCGGGATTTAGAAACTGACTCCTTTTGGAAACTCTTTAGCAGCCCATAGGCCTGTGCATGTGCTTTATATGTGCCTGTTTTAGAAGACAAGGAGCTGCCCGGCCAATGTGGCCTGATGGTTGAGAATCAACCCATGAACCAGGAGGTCACGGTTCAATTCCCAGTCAGGGCACATGCCTAGGCTGCAGGTTTGACCCCTGTTAGGGGGCATGCTGGAGGTAGCTGCTCGATGATGTTTCTCTCTCATTGATGTTTCTAACTCTTTATCCCTCTACCTTCCCTTCCCTTCTCAATCAATGAAACACTTAAAAAAAAATAAAATGAAAAAAAAAAAATCAGTAGAAGACATGGGGC